TTTAAGCAGAGCAGGAGAATGATCAAAATTTGAAACCAATAACTGATTTCCTAAAAGCAAGTGTTTTGCGCCCTGCTTGGGAGCAGGTGTCTAGTCTAAGTTCTGTGATAAAGCACTATTGGGTACAATGGAACCAGTTAAATCTTGAAGATGGTATTCTTGTACGGAGATGGGAAACTACAGATGGGAAAGTGACGACTTGGCAAACAGTTATACCGAGGAAATTACGGGAAGTTGTGCTGCATCAATCCCATGATAATTTAACAGGAGGACATCTCGGAATTAAGAACACATTGAGTCACCTATGAGAAAGATTTTACTGGATAGGTATGAGACGAGATGTGGAAGAATGGTGCAGGACATGCAGTACATGTAATGCAAAAAGGGGACCCAAGCATACGGGACGCCCACCTTATGAAGAGTTGCCTGAGAATGTGTCAGAGTTTGTGAAAGGGTTATCGGAAAGGATGGATGATATTCACCATCTAGTGCGTTCAAACTTGAAAACGTCAACTGATTCAAGGAAGCTATCTTATGATAAAAGATCTACTGACGTCAGCCTTGAACCAGGAGAAAAGGTGTGGTTGTATAATCCCAGGAAGACCAAAGGGAAGTCTCCTAAGTTGTCTTCTCCATGGGAAGGCCCATATACATAGTGGATCGTCTCTCAGACGCTTTGGCTTACCTCGCCGACCACATTTTATTCGGAAAGTCCAATATAAACCATCTTGTAAAGTGGCAACAGCATCCTCGCAGCTAGCAACATCCAAACTTTATAATATCATTAGAAAGTTTATATATTTGATTAACCATTCCTTTATCTATGCCATTGGTGTATATCAAAAAGGGTAAAGATCCTAACACTGATCCCTGAGGATCCCCACTTGTAACCTTAATCCAATTTGACTGAACTTCATTTAAAAAAGTCTCTGCTGTCTTAAATTCATGGCCAGGTGGTTAAGGCCCTCGAGTCGTAATTTGCGGGTCGCAGGTTCGAATCCCCGTCACACCAAACATGCTCGCCCTTTCAGCCGTGGGGGCGTAATAATGTGATAGTCAATCCCACCATTCGTTGGTAAAAGAGTAGCCCAAGAGTTGGCGGTGGGTGGTGATGACTAGCTGCCTTCCCTCTAGTCTCACACTGCTAAATTAGGGACGGATAGCGCAGATAGCCCTCGTGTAGATTTGCGCGAAATTCAAACAAACAAACAATCTATCCAATGAGCCATCTTATCCCCCACACCTGCAGGTATGATATTTATGTCGCACCTTGTCTTGCTTTCTAAAAATCCAGATGCACTAAATTTTCAATGACCTCTTCAAAGAATGAAAAAATAAAATTGTAAAGCATGATTTTCGCCTTGTAAAACCATGCTCAATATGGAACAACATTTTGAACTTTGTTAAATGACTTTGCAAAACATCGTTTATCAGATTTTCAAAACATTTCCTCTCCACTGATGTAAAACTAATAGGCCTGTAATTACTGGGACGTCCTGCGGTGGGACAGCGGTAAGTTTTATGGACAACGCTGAAATATAGGGCTCGATTCCCCGTCGTGGACATAGAAGATAGCTCAAAGTTGTTTTGCTCTAAATAAACAACAATACTTGAGCAATTCTTATCACCTCTCTTTGTCGAGAGGTTGTACACTTATTGGTTAAAAGTTTATTGTTAATAATTCATTGTAAGCTCACTAGCTGCATTATATCAGGTAAAATAATAATATTAATTTATAGTTTCAACTAGGGACCTGTTTGTCCATTAAGACTGTCCTGTCCTATAAACTAAACTTTAAAATCAAAAATATAACACTGAAAGCCAGCTTTTATTATTTAAATATCTATCAAGCCATCACTTAAACCTCCTTAAATTGTTCTCACACATCTTTATTTTATTCTAAAAAAGTATTTTTCAAATGCATAGTGCTGACTTGAGCATTTTACCTGTTGTAATTGTTTAAATATCACGATTTTTAACATTGGAGTAACTTAAATCTTATCTAACACTTTAGTTAATATTAATATTTCCACTTAATTTCCGCGAGGGTGTGTTGCAAATCTGAATGTATAAATTGAGAGCATATTTCAATAGCACATCAAAACTTTCAAAGTTACATTTAAATATCTCAAAATATAATTGTATTGATCTAAAAATAAAACTTTTTGTGTTATCAGGGTATTGTTTTTTTATTCTTTATATTATCGTTGTGTGACTTTGATCATTGTGAATAATAACATAAGAATTGAAGAAGGGAGATCGGGCCTTCATTAAGATGTCGACGATGAAGATGGTGAATGTTGATGTTTTCTCCCAACCAAAAGAAATTAAGAAAAAAGTTGCTCATTTAGTTGTTGATTCTGGCCCTTTTATTAAGAATGCTTCTTTGCATGTAAGTTTAACTGGGAGAAAAATATTATGTATGAATATTCGCAGTTTTTGTAAATTTATGTTATATTACCTTAAGAGATAGATGTAACGATGCTAAGCCTAATTTAAATAACGTGGTAGTGATCTAGGCCTAACAATGGAACGTTACAAAAGTATTACTACAAAGTAAATAAAAAATTGGCAATTTCAAAACCTGTAAATGGGAATAGTAAGAAAGTAACGAAACAAGGCTGGATATACTGTAAACATTGTTTACTCCAATTACAAACCCATGTTTTGGGTCCATGCTGTTGGTGTTACCCAGAAATAGAATTACATTTAGTTGAGTCAAAATACTAATATAACTTATAAGTTGGGATTTGTAGTTTGGGTAAATAATGGCTACAATATATCCAGCTTTGTATGGTTAGTTATTTTATTATCTCTATTTTGCAGGGTTTTTAAGTTCCCAGATTTTTATTTATCTAGCTTTATTTATGCTCAACTATTGGCAGAGGATTACTTGATATGGTACTGGTAGCTAAATTTATACATTGTAATGATAATATTAGTAAGGCCATTGTTATTGTCACTGATAGAAAGGTGGATATAAAAGCCAGTAACGTACTATTTCAAGCCATTGGTGGCAATAATTGCTACAGAAAAGCTAGTGACACGGACATCAGTAGTTAACATAATTTGTCATAAAATGGATGATGTTAGTGATCATTAGCTAATTGATACTAGTAGCAGGGAAAAATATTGACAGATGTGCATTGGGACTGTCTTATTTTGGTGATTTTGAATCTATTCTAGATCACCTTAAAAAGAGAGACTCTCTCCCATTTCACATCTTAAACAGCTAGACAATAATCACAAACGGGCATGTAGAAAGAACTCAAATGAGTTAACTGATTTGTTACAGTTTGAATATACATACTACAGTGTGTGTTGTGTGCACTATGGTTATAGATGTATTAACTGATATCACGCAGTTATAATAAATGTAGGTCATTAGCTATGGTAAAAATGTTATGTGATGATGTATTATTACATTTCCAAAGCACTGATTTATTGGGGCTCACATGGCACTATTGTTGTGAGGTGCTTGGGACTGAGACTTTGTAACCTGTAGTTTAATATACTGTTTTTAATGTCAGTAGCATTATCATAGTTTTTATTTTCATTGTCTTATTGTTGTCAATAGCCACTTCGTATTAATAAACAGTTCATGATAATTTACTGTAGCTATTCACTATTTGATCACATTAGCTCCAAATGTAAAATCTTAAGCTGCAGCTACGTATTGATTTTTTTTTTACTCCTTCACTTCATACATAATGTATGGATTGCTCCCTAAAAACACTGATTGTATAGTGTACTAAGCATTGAGTATCTACATGTTACAGTTATCTAATGTTCATATATTATTGGCTGGTAATTCCTGTTTTACTCTGTACTTAAGCTTTTTATAAGGAACACCAGATATTTGTTAAAAAGCTAACTTCAAAGGGTAATGATAACATCGTTTACACTAGAATTGTGTGTTTTTTAGCTTATGTGAAATATAGAAGAAACAGTTCAAGTTTTCAATACCCCTATGATCTCAGCAGTACTTTATTTATTATTCTACAAAAGGTTTGGGTGCAATATACTAAACTGTTTTTGTTGCAGGCTGACAAGAGTATAAAATAATAAGAATTGCAAATGAGCTGTTTGCAGCAGACTTTCTTTTCCTTGTAAGTCTAACATGCAAGCTTTTTTGTTTAAAGGTTTAAAGTGTTGTTTAAACTGAATCTTTACTGTTTAATGTACTTCTTTGCTCAAACATTTTTTAAGGTTTTGTGAAAGTTCTTGCAATCCTTATTATGAATTACTTTTGTGGTTCATGATTACTCAGTATTAGCGCTGCAGTGCTTGGTGCAGTGTGAACCAAGTAAGGCCCTTGAAACTGTAATGTAAATCAATATTAATAGATTATTCATGCCATACCACATAGTCTTGGATGAACTGTCAAGACAACAAAATTTATGAGCATTAAATTTCAAATGATTTTTAAAGTTGTGCATACTTTTAGTGTTTTACTTTTGTTTTAGAGCATTTCTTGTTCGGTATTATTTATTCAAACTATAATCCATTTATTTCACATGGATCCTGTATTTTGTCTTTTAAACCTGTAAAAATTTTATTCAGAAGGTAGTGGATCTGCATGTGTTCATTGATATTTTCAGCCCCTGAATTAACAGTGGTTGATTTAAGTACTGGGTGACAATACCATTGGTTACACTGACAAGTGCTGAACCATTGTGGAGATCAGCAGTCTTGCAGGAGGCAGAGGAGAGCTCCTTTACTGATGTTATTATTGGCCTTCTACCAGCATACTTACTTGCCATCTTTAGTTTTGCTAGATATACACACACCCTATGGTACTTTATTTCAAACAGACATATTCTTCCTAAATGTTGATGAAAACCTTCCATAGTTGCCACTTTCTCCTAACTATTGCAGCTGCCATTAAAATTGTTTTTGATTTGATATAAGGACTTTTCCTGCAGCCTTATATGCTTCCTCATTCAGCTTTACCCAAATTTGTAAAATGCTGATTTCTGTCATCCATTTGTGGACCAACCACTTTGAATTTTATGTAGAAATACCTGTGAGTCATTTGCAAATATTCTGTAGTGGCACTGTCTGTATGCAGTTTATTGCTTTCAGCAATCCAGAAGAGAGCTTGCTTTATGACTTGCAGCTCCATCCTTGTGCTACTTGTGGGAAGCTTGAAAACTCCACCAGCCTTATGCAGAATGTTGTTCCTTTACTAGATGATGAATACTTAATCAGCTTTTTCTGTTATTTGTGGTGTAGGACCCATTTGTGGCTCTGATGACAGGTGACTGGCTGCCATGGTGCTGACAAGCTGTTTCTGTCTCATATTATGCCCAATCTCAACATTTTCTGTCTAGGCTGATTTCTACAGATTCCAGTAGCACAAGATGTTTATTCCACATGTAGAAATCTGAGATCAGGTGGTAAGTAGTTATTTCAGTGGTGGCTGTATCGCACCTTCCACCCATGACTTTTACCTGAAATGTCTTTTAGGCAACCTCCTCTCTCATTGGTGTTTATAGGGATTTTGAGGAGCTGGAATGTCCCAGTTCAAAAGGGCAGTGGTTCAATGATGGAATGCATAGTTTTCTACTGGAAGTATAATTATGGGATCACCTTAACTTTAATGCGATTAAAACTTAATTGTGGTTAAAAAAAACCCAACAATATTACTGAATTTGATTTGAAAATATGTATGTTTGCTTTTCTCTGTTTTCTTGAATGAAATCCTTCCTGATACTCAACAATCTTAGCTCAGTGTGTGATCTGAGACTTAACCCAGGGCTTTCAGTGTCAAATTATTTCAAAGGTACCATGTTAATTTTAGTAAGAAACCAAGAGCTAAGAGTTCTGGGGGTTGATGTTTTATATGTAATAATTTTTCTTTCAGCTATAATTATATTATGGTTAAATGAAATATCATCAGTTCTATTCCATTGGGAGAATTAATCACACTTACTTGGGGCTAATAATACTTTTAAAATCCATGGATATGATAAAACCATAACACTACTAGTTTATAGTAAAACTTAATTAGCAATAGTTAGTAATAAATATGGTTAAAAATGTAACTAATAACTTTTGTTATCATAACTTCATAAATATATTGATGGATTATGAACAAAAATATTGTTTCTGTTGATTGATGTAGGCTAACCTTCAAATATGTGGATTTGAGTTTACTACTGTTATGATATACATAAATATATGTATGTGTGTAACATAGAGCAGAATATGTGTAACTGTACAGTGAGTGTATTTAAGCTGTAGGTATATGATAGATATACATGAAACTTTCTGAATAACAGTTTGTTTCTAAAGTACATTTTGAAATAACTTAATGGAAAATTGTAAATATTTTTAGCCGTCTTTATGTCTTTACAGGAACTTGGTGAGAAGCTATACACACTACCTGAAGTACTTGGAGAAATAAAAGATAAACACACTAAAGAGAGACTTCATTCTTTACCAGTTGAACTTTGTTTTAGAGAACCACCATCAGAGCTCATCAAACTTGGTAATGTACCAGTTAGCTTTTATCAAAAATTCTTTTTCATGAACTTGTTAGATCTTTATTTTCCTCATAACTAAATGCTTTATTGAAGATTTTTAGTATGTTCAAGTTGAGGTTTATGTTTTACCTATACAGGCCACTAGTCAGATTTCACCTATTCTTTGTTTTCTTGTCAAGCTATACCTGTTCTTTATTTTGCTGTGTTTTAACAAAATTTATGTTCCTGTACATTGTTTAACTTTCTCTACAGAGGCTTGGGTGAATTGATCGACCACTTTGTTCTTATTTAAAGTTGTTATAATTTTGATACTACTAGCTTTTAATGTAGTATATGTATCTTCGCAAAACTTGTTAGACTTTCAGTAAACATTACAAGTCTTTTACATACAAAAACTCAGATTTTTTTAGTGAAGTATTTTTGATAAACCAAAAAAAAGATTTGTTTGTGAATATATGAAGTTTTTGTGTGTTTTTTAACAGTCTGAGTACAAAGTGATTTTCAAGATTCAAAATACTTTTCTTCATCTCAAAAATCTCCTAAATATGTTTCAAACATTTTTCTTCAGTAAATCTTTATACTTTATCTATTATTTTCTCTACCCTAACTTTATACAACTCTACACCAACCTTTTAACTGTCCAAAGAAATCAAAATCAATCTGAATTACCCTTTTTTTTTCTAGAATGACTTCAAATTGTAACATGAAACTACATTTGTTTATAATAAGTAGCTTTAAACATGTAACAGTATACATCTATTTATACATAAACTTTATTGTTTTATTGCCCTTTGAACTGTGTCTAATTACTATTCTCACCATTATAAGTTGTAAATTATTTGGGGAACTCACATTATGCTTTCAAATTACATTTTCCATGAGCTACTCTGAGCAGCTCGCATGCATGCCTCATGAACATTTATTATTATATAATTATTATTATATATTTTACATAATCTAACCATAACTAGCCTAAAGAGATTCCTATTCTTACATTTTAGTTACTTTTATAATAATAAATAAAGAATATACATGAAAAACAAGAAATAAAAGTACTTACCTGGATCTTCTTTTTTTTCTTTTGCTATCGGCTGTTGATGACACTTAACCCTAAGTTTTTTTATACTAATGATAATAGTGCACAAAATTATTTTTATTTAATTAAATAATGCACCAAAGAACATTAAATAATAACATGCAAAAAGCAGACAGTGTCTCATAACTATCACAATTTTTCTGGCTTTCTAACTGTGCGACAAGAACTATTAAAAGTTCATTCAAGCTAGTCGATATGTTTCCTGTGTGAATGAAGCTTGTACTGAAAGAGAAATTGACAATTCTCTGTACAGAAAACAACGTAATATAATACATCATTTGATAGATGAAAACCTTGGCTTTCTATTGGTCATAAGTAATATAGTATTAAGGGTAGGAGAGAACTATTAACAAATCTTGAAAGAGATGATGTGACAGGTGGGTATGACAAGAGGGGGTCTGATGTTTCTATTTGATGGCTCTGTAACCAAACAAGATTGAAGGCTAGAAAAATTATGCTTTGGCAGAGCGATGAAAATATTATAGTGATTAATTTTTGTTAAATTTCATACTTATTGGATGCTTGGTGAATAAAATAGAGAAAAGGGGATGCCTAGAGAAAAAATGTCACATTTTTCACACTAGGGGAAATTCAGGATGTTTTCTTTATATTGCTTTATAAAATTAAGAACTTAAAACTTTTATACCATTAAAATATGGATTATTAGCTACAATTTTATGCTATACTACTTGGTATAACATAAACAAAAAAAGTAGTTTAAATTTTGAATGTGTCTCTAATAAACCTTGTGACACGCATGGTAAAGGATTCTCGTGGCGAGAGGGTTAAGATGATCTATGCTCAGGATTAATTGGTCTCTTGTCAAGTTCCATGTATTCTTTTCTATTTCATGCACATTATGTTGAGAAATAATTAGCCTCTTGTTAAGTTATTTTTTATTTCACTGTGTTGTGACAACACTTGTGTTCCTGCACCTTATGTAAAATGATCTATGTTGAAGACTAGTGGTCTTTTTTAAAGTTCCACCTGTTTTTTTTGTGTATCAAAGTATTTTGTCTATGTGTATGTAAGGTTTTGTGTATTGAGGACTTTTTTGCATTCTGCTGTATTTCTAGATGATACTGAATTTTTTTGAAAGATTGATTTTGAAAGGGAATAGCTTTCAATACAAATAAGTTGTGTTTTGTTGAGTTGTACATATCAGGTTGATAAATGGATTGGATATTCAATAGATACATTTCTAATATTTTTTCAAATGATCTTTTAAAGATTATTTCATTCTTAAATTTCAAACTTGTGTGTAATTATTTTTTAATGGTGATGGTACAATCTTACACTACAGCTATTTGCCTCATTGGAAATTTTAAACTGTAAATAAGTTATTGGAATGTAGTTTGATTTTGACAAGAATGTTAAGGGTCTATGAAGGTTGATCTTATGAAACAATATCTTTACCTTTGTGCATGCAATAGCTATTCTTTGCACATGTCTGCCTTTGCTATTTTGCACTTGCCACTAGCCTTGAGCCATCTCTAACCTAAGACATATTTTAATGAGAATTACTTTAATAACAATGAATTCTCAAGTGATGGTGACTACTACCTCCTCCTGAAGTTCTAGTAAGGTTGATTACACTGCCCCTCCAATGTCTGTGGACGCTTTAGGCTTATTGGCTGTGGAGAACATTACTGCTGTTTTTCAGTGTGTCATGGGTATGCTAATACTTTCATCTCCCTGTCCCTGCATTCTAAGTGTGTCTCCCTCTTTCTGATCCTGGTCTGACCATGAGGATGGAAATTTTAATTGGCTTTTTCCACCTCCTGGGTTTTCACTAGGCCTCTCTTTACATTTATCAGACAATTCTCATGTGAAATACATCAACAAGCTTAGCTGAATTTTTAACATCTTTTGTCGCATAGTTAGAAAACCAGAAAAATTGTGATAGTAATAAGGCATTGTCTGTTTTTTGTGTGTTATTATTTGGTGTCCTCAGGTGCATTATTTAATTAAATAAAAAATTATTTAGTGCAGTAGTACCATTAGTATAAGAAAAAGTAGAGTTAACTGTCACTGAAAAGCCAACAGCAAAAAAAAAAGACAGAAGCAAGTACTTTATTGCTTGTTTTTCATGTGTATTCTTTATCTATTATTATAAAAGTAGCTAAAATTTAAAAATTAGACATTTTTTAGGTTAGTTAAAGTGAGGTTAGGTGAAATAAATAATAATAATAATAAAAATGTTCACAAGGTAAGCTTACAAGCAGCTCGCTAGTAATCCATGTGCATGTAATTTGGTAGGATAACATGAGCTCCATGTTTGCCAAAGATCAAAGGACATTAAATCAATAAAATTTAAATAAAAAGAAATGTAGTTACAGTTTGAGGTCATTCTAGAAAAAAAAAGGTAATTTAGATGTATTTATTTTTTTGTATGTGGTTATGAGGTTAGAGTTAGGCTAGCGAAAATAACAGATAAAATATAAAGGTTTACTGAAAAATAATGTTTTATAATTATTTAGGAGGTTTTAGAAATTTCACAAATGAAATTTGAAAACTTTTACATGAATAAAAATATTTTTATACTTAACACAAAAATTACTTTACACTCAGACTAGTAAACAAAACTACTTGATATAATCACTCATAGACAAATCTTAATTAAAAATACTTACTTAAAATTTTTTGTATACAAAAGTCTACCAAATTTTATGAAGATACACATACTATATTAAAAGTTATAGTATGGAAGCTAAGGAGTACAAAATAGTTACGAACCCCGTCGATTCGATCAACTCTCTGTGAAAAGAGTTAACTCTTTAGTACTCAGTTTTTGTGTCATTGCCTTTTTCTTACTTATCTCATTCATTACCCATCATCTCTGAAGCCCTTAATGTGATATTGATAGTTTTTCTCCAAACCTAGAGTCGGTGCTTTTCAGTACCTTGGCCATCTTCCCCATTCTTACTTCTGTGACTCTATATGGCTCCATTTCTTCACCCTGAAGTCTTCAGGATTGTTTCTAACACCTTGGAGACCAGAGTCAAGGCTGCTTGATACCAGTCCTTCCTCTCCTCTTGGTTTTTCATCACTCCCAACCTCATGAATGAATGCCCATTTCTTGATACTATGAACCACTCACCTCTCTCTCTTTTCTAGTTTATCATCCCTGTACATCTTCTCAATGTCCACCCTCCCTTTGAGTTGGCCATCACATGATATGATGGTGAATACCTTCCTTTGTACGTTGTTGGTTCAGGCCCTATTGAAGCATGTCTTTTTCTGTTTACAGCCTTGTGGACCCCATTTGCAGCCAACTGGTGGGTTTTTCAAGTTCTTAAACCCAGCTTTTCTCTTCACTTCTCATCTCTTCATTCTTTCTGTTCTTTTTCCTTCTCCTAGAAATCCTCAGCACCTTTTGCAACTCAAAGTTGTGATATTGGATCTTTTGGACAAGACCGTCATTGAGAGGGTCATTTGTCTCTCTTCTGGGTTTTATTGCTATCTTTTTGTTGTCATCAAAAAGACAGGGAACTAGTATTCCATCATCAACCTTTCTTCTTTCAACCACTATCTTATGGTTCCTCAGTTCAAAATAGAGGGATATATTTCTTTCTGTTGGTCCATTTCTCTTGACATTTTCTTTGATATGTCCATCAGGATCAAGTGTACCAGTTTTAAGCTCTTGACTTCAGCTTCTTATGTATTCAATCAAGTTATGAAAACGATTGCTCAACAAGTCCATGGTTTTGAACTTCGTTTCCATTGCTACATCTCACCTCTACTTGGGAAGCTTCTTTCTTGGCTCTGTCATCTCTCCTCCAAGAAGATGCTTATCTGGGTTGGCTGGTTAAACCTTTGAAGTTGTTCCTCACTCCGACCCAATACTTGGTTCATCTCGTTGTCTTCTTCAGTTCCAGACTCAGTCAAGCTCTGCCTTTTCTATTCATTTGTGAGACAAAGATTGTCTTATTCACCTTGACTCTTACCTCTCCTATATTTCCTGTGTGAGGAACTTTTGAGGACCTTTGCATCTTTCAAACACCTTATACCTTTAGACTGAGCTCACATAAGGCTTCATCAATGGACTTTGAGCAGCTAGTGGAATATCTCCCATGATCCTCTTTCCTCTTTTAGGATGCTGCTGCCTTCTCTTCTCAAAGATCTGTTTTGGTGGCTGGATCATGCCCACACTATAGTCGGCATTCCACTGCTGCCTGTATGCTCAGTTCTTCATCTCTTCACTGATGTTTCTTTTATGGGTTTAGGTGCGTCTCTGGACAACTCCGTGGCTTTAGAGGTTTGTTCTTATGTAAAGCATGCTTTCCACATCAATGTTCTGGAATTCTTGACTGCCTATCAAGCATGTTCCTATTACCTACCTTGACTTGTGGTTCATTTGGTTATGAACCACTTTTTGCAGTCATTTCCCATATCAGTCATCAAGGTGGGACTTCTGAATGTTTGACTTTCTGATTTGGATGCATTCAAAACAGCTTTGTCTAACTGCCTGTCATGTCCTGGAGGCTTTGAACTTGATGAAGGATCACCTCTCTCATTTGGATAAGATTCTTTCTGTGGTGTGGTCAGTTCATTCTCATGTTCTTCATTGGATTATTCCCAGTTGGACACACCAAAGATTGATGCTATTGCCATTCTAAACTCCAAACTTCCCCTCTTCTGGTTCTCAGTACCTCACCTAGCTGCTCTGGCTGTGAATTCCTTCAGCCAAGACTAATCTCATCTCTTTCTATATGTGTACCCTCCTTTTTGCCTTCACCCACATGTCTTGACTTTGATCAGTGACACACCATGCCTGGTTCTGTTGTTAGCCCCCAGTCAGCTCAGTCTTTATTTTCTCCTGCTCACCAACTGACATCTATGGCACCTCTTCCTCATTCCTCGTCACTCTTGCTACAATCTTGCATGTCTCTTTTTTTTTGACTTGAGGATGTCATTCTTTTGTCTTCACGTATGGAATTTGTTCAGTCCCATTCTTGTTGGTCAGGTTTCTCCAACTGTAGCCCTTCTTTTATCTTATTCTTGATGGACTTTTACTCTCTCAGCCTGTTAATGTTAGTGTTCAATAGAGAATTGTCAGTTTCTACCATAGGAGGCTATTGGGTGGTCTTATCAACTATATTTCAACTGTTTTGCCATATTCCTATGTTCCCCTGTTCTTTCCACCTTGTTTCAGTACTTTCTCATTCATCATTCCCTTTATCTGATTCCTTTGACCATCTGGAACCTTAATGTGGTTCTACACATCTTTACTCATTCTTTGTTTGACTCATTGACCACTTGCATATTATACCATTTCCCTCTCAAAACCTAGTTCCTTCTCTTTCTTGCTTGTGGCCATTGCAGATCTGATCTTTATATATTGGAAACCTACCATACTTTGTTTCACAGATCTTCGTTCATCTAGTTTCCTGACAGCTCATTTCTTTCTAAGATATGGATGGCTGAGGAGGAAGATCATTCTTTCACTTCCATTTTTTTGGCTCTCTGTGACTCTACTGATCCTGATCATCTTTTGTATTCAGTTCGAGGGGTCAAATATTACTTGGTACATACAGCTCCATTTTGGGGTTTTCTCAGTCATTTATTCTTGTCATAGGACCAGTTTTCTTCTCTCATCCTTTATGCTTACCAAATGCATTCTTCAACTTGTCCAGATCATAATTTTCTTTCTGGATGGAGATGCTTGCAGGGTATATCGTGGCTCATCACATCAAATCAGCCACTTGACTCACTCTGGCTTTGCACTTTCAACAACCCTTGGACAAGATCCTCTAGGGTATAAGGTAGACCATGATCAACACCTTTGTCTCCGATTTCCTTCACCATTTATCAGTTTTGTTTTCCTCCAGTTTACTTACCATCTTTGATAGGTGTTTTGTTTTTTTTATTTAGTTACTTGTTTCTGCTCTTATACAATTCGCTTCTTGGAATAAATCCAGTGGCAGGTCTTGCCTCATAGGGTATACTTACTTCCTAAAATCCTAATTGACTCAGGGGTAACAGAAAGCATTAAACCCATTCACCCTGGCTCAAAACATGCTCACTATTAAGTAAAGGTTTTCTGCAAGGCCACTAAGGTGGTATATACACATCGTTCATTGTCCATTATAAACTGTACCTTCCTTGAAGTAACATGGAAAAAGCTAGCACCAGGGGAGTGTCTGCCCACTTCCTTGCTTGTGTATGCTGGCTTTTCAAATTAGGTTTCATAGTTACCCATTGCACTTTCTTCAGTAAAAGACCTTTGTGGTGATTAGGTTCAATTGGGTCCTGGAAACTCTCCTGTGTCTCCCAAACAGAGCTTTCTCTCCCTCCTCCCCTACCTAGAGATCGAGTGGAGCATGGGAAAATGCTTGCCATTACTAGTTCCTAGCTGCTGGGGTGGTCAGCTTGTAGGGTTTTATACCACTTGTGCAATCCCTCCAGAAAGAGTCAGAGTGGGCAGCACATTGCAGTGAGATGTAGGGAATGGGTGTTGATGTCAATGTAGTACAGTTCACCCCTGTTACATAATATGCCAATTTCCTAGTGGTTTGGCCAGCTGGATGAGGCAAGATGTTCTCTTTATGCAAAAGTAAGGGACTTAGTCCCCATTTCTGTATATACGGTGGGTAAATTAAAAAACAGAATATATACCATATGATCTGACCATTGCCCTAGTCATCCTACATGTTGTTTGCAAATGCTCATTCGATCATGTTTTTTTTCCATCCATTCCTGTGATACATGGCTCGTTTTGCCTTCCTCATTTCATACTTCTATCTGAGTGAAGAGTATACCCTGCATGAGGTAGGTGCAGTCTCCCACGAGTGCTACCCCTCTAGTAAGCCCCAACTATATGGTACCGCACTCCATGCGTGAGCTATCCCCTTCAAGTGTCTGCTTTGAAGGAAGCTTATCTAGAATTTTCACAATTGCACTGGCCCCTCCACCATATAAATATGAGATACTAGCTACTGTATGCAAAGAACTAAGGATATTGTTTCAGAAGTTAATAACATTTTACTTACCTGAAAATGTACTTACAATAGATTATTATCTTTTTGCACATCTTCCTACCCTTTCTGCCACTACCAGTGTGTATTATTTTTACCTTGTCTAAGATGAACTTAACTTTGAGCACAAGTGCCTATAGGAATCTATTGTACATCAAGGAAGTGTCACCCTCCTATTAGTGGAGTGTTATTCTTGCATGGTGATTACATCATGCACTAGCATAGTTCACTTTAAAACATCTTATGTAGAAGATAGCTCATAGCACAAAATATCATATGCATGTGGAATAATTACTGTGTGCTGAAAGATTATCTATTGGAAAAACATTTTCAGGTAAGGAAATCTTTGCAGTATTTTGTACTACATTTTAACGTAACAACAGCACACTGCTTGGATGACTTGAGAGACTGATCAGCTAGAACTCCAAGATTCTTTTATTTGATAATATTGTTGAGGTTGTTTCCATTAAAATTATTCTGACAATTCTAATGATTTACGTGCATTAACTTCCATTTATTATAGTTAAAAGCCATCTCTTATTTATTCATCCAACTTGCTAAATAATACAAATACTGTATTGTAGTAGCAACACCTAAGACTAATATCATCAGCAAATTTAAGTAATTTAATATGTTTAGTAATGTTTACATAAAAATCAATATTTTGATGGTTTAGTTACATACTAGAATTTTACTTTTTACTTTTTAAGTTCTTATGGTGTATTTGTAGTGAAGTTTGATATTTACAGGTTTTTGAATACATTTTCTTTTATAAGAGGAAACTTTAATTTTTAATTCTTAGTTCATAAATAACTAGCAAATTTAATTCAAATTCTATATGCAAGTAATGTAAATGTAAAATAAATTTTAAGGACAACAGTTTACCTTTTGGTCCATCTAGGCCATCCCACCCACAATAGAAAACAGAAATTCAAAGCCGACCCTTTTCAATCAAATACTTATGAAACATTCCCTTAAACTTGCTTAAATTACTGCAATCACCAAATCTGAAGACAATCCATGTCAAAGGCCAACCACTGCCTTAGAAAAATAGTGTTTTAGCTGAAAATAACTCGTACCTTCCATAATTTATATTTATGTTTTGTCTCCTTTAGTCCTACCATTCTCACCATTAAATATGAAACAAGATAATGTGTCAACACTATCAGTTCCCTTAAGAATATTAAATGCCTCAATCAGATTTCTTTTAATTATTAATTTTTCTAGAGAAAACCATTTCAGAGGTTTTAATCTGTCCTTGTATGTCAGTCTTTTCATCCTTGGTATTATCCTAGTAGTCCTCTTCTAAAACATTTCCAACAGTTCAATGTCTTTCCTAAACTAAAGAGTCTAATATAGAAGAGATTACTCTAATTTGACCTAACCACTGATCTATAGAATGAAATTTATCCTCTCTAAAATTTTAAATCAGTAGTGTTATGTAAGTTTAACAAAATTTGTGGCTTTGATATTAAGAATTGATCATCTACATCTTTTAAAACTAATATTTGTGTAGATATATAGAGTTTGACATTTAAGAATGTATGTTTTGTTCATTCATTTTAGTTAGTGATTTTGCCAAAAAGTCTGGAGACTATCCAACACTCTCTGCTGTAGACTTGAGAGTCCTAGCTCTAACATATCTTTTAGAAAAGGAACATGTAGGTACAGAGCACCTAAAAACTGAGCCTTACACCACAATGGTAAGAAATTACATTCCAGTTTATAACTCTAATAGTCATTATTTTTATGTATCTCATTACATTTTAAACCAAAATCAGAGATTAATCTACACAAACCTACATTTTATGTCAAATATATATTTTTTGTTTAAAATGTAACATTCTTGACTATTCCATGGAATTTATTTAATTAAGATAACTTGAAGTTAACAGTTATATAAGTTTACATTGTAATGAATCACAACAATATTGCAAATGAAAAGTTACTTTTCAAATACATTAATTTACCTTTAGCTGTTCTCCTAGCCAGTTGTCACATTATAAAAGACTTTCTAGTTACTTTCATTAATATTCTTCTATTTGCTGATCTTCGTTAATAGCCATTATTTTTACATGGTATAAAAAAATAATCATTTAACACTCTTGCTACAGGCTTGGTCAATTTGTCTAAGTTTATGACCCCAGATTGACCTTTACAGTTGCCATATTATAACTTTTTATATGTTTTATGTACCTTCACAAAATTTTGCAAGCTTTCAGTAAGCATTAAGTCTTTTGTAAACGAAAAAATCAGAATTTTTAATGAAGTAATTTTGCTGAAAATTTCTCCGTGAACATATGGAACCAGAGTGTTAACTGCTCCAAGTGCAAAGTGATTTTCATGTTAAAATTAAAAATACTTCTCTTCACTTGAAAATTGTCATA